TATCTGTTGGACTTATTCCACTGCCAGATTTAACTCAACAAGCTGGACATAATGTACAATTAAATCCAAGAACTAGAGGACCAATTGTTGATGGATTTAGATGTGTTGAAAAAGGAATTTATGCAGCTGGTAATCAATTACATGTACATGATCTTGCAGATGAAGCATCTAATGAAGGAGCTATTGCAGGAGAAGCTGCAGCACTTTCATTAGGAGGAGAAAAAGAAGCAATTAAAGTTATTCCAGCACCAGAACTTCTTTATTGTGTACCAGAAAGAGTAGTTATTAGTGATAAGAAACAAAAATTATCATTTAGATTTAGACAAGATTTTGGAAGTGCACATGTTATAGCAAAAATAGGAGAAACTATTATTGGAGAAGAAGAAATTGAACATGCTATTCCAGCAGAAATGGGACATGTTTGGGTAATTCCTAAAGATTGTCAAATTGGACAAGAAGTTACACTTACAGTTATTCCTAAAGCACATGAAGAAGTAACAGAACAAAAAGAAGGAGAAATAGTAAAACATATGAATTGTATTGTATGTCCAAGAGGATGTCCAATTGAAGTTAAGATTGATGCTAAATCAAATGAAATTACATCAATTAAAGGAAATTCATGCCCAAGAGGAGCTGCTTATGTTAGACAAGAACATATAGAACCATTTAGAGTATTTTCAACAACTCTTCCAGTAGAAGGAGGAAATTTGATAAGAGTACCAGTTAAATTAACCAAACCAGTACCACGATCAAAGATATTTGAAGTAATGGAAATTATTCATAAACAATCACCAATTAAAGCACCAATCAATAAAGGACAAGTGTTAGTAAAAATACCAAAAATGACAGATATTGTTGCATGTTATCCAGTTGTTAAAGAAAAAGAAAGATAATATTCTAAATAACTTTAAATTTATTTTTCTTTTTTGAAGTTAGACAGATTTATAAAAATAGATTATTATTTTGGTATTTTCTGATAATAAATAAATGAAGAAACATCTTTTGAAAATTCTATTTTTCCAATAAAATAATTTGATTGGATATTTAATTCATAAAACCTAGAAATTTACAATGAGGTAACTATGATCAATCATTTGTCTCTCTTTTAATTAAAGGAGACAATTCAATGAAATAAAACGTAAAATGAAACAATCCGGATTGAGAAATTATATCAACGAAAATTTGGAATAAATGGTATTAGAAGTGAATAGAATTTGTATTTTAAAAGAAACAAAAAAAGCAAAATAAAAGAAATTTAAATTAAAATTAAAATTAAAACAACAACAACAATTTGTTGTACAAAAATGAAAATGATTTAAAGGTCTTTGTAATATTTAAAAACTTTAATTTTAATAATTAAATATGGAACACTTAGAACAATTCAATCTTTTTAACCAAGTTATAAAAGTATTACCTTCATTTTGTAATGCATTAGAAGAAGCTGCTGGAATAGCTGTTGATCCAGAAAGTAAATATCAAATTTCAAAATATAGAATTGATATTACTGATAGTGATGAAATTGCTATTAGAGAATATCGTAGATTATTTGATGAATTAAATTTCATAGTAACAGAAAATTTAAGAATAATTAAAAGAGTAAATGAAGCTGTTGAGTTACTAAAAAGAGCTTTTACCTTAATGGAAGCTGTTCAAAAGAATGAAGAGAAAGAGATGAGTGTGATTGCATCTACAGCAAATGAATTAGCACTAAAAATAGTAGAAAAAGAAACAGACAAATATAATAAAGAAATAGACAAAATTAATAAAGAAATTCAATTTCAAATGCAGGAAAAAAGAAACGAATTTAATGAAAAAATTCTTGATATTCAAGAATGTATTAAACCTGTCGCTAATGCTGTTACCCTTTCTAAAATGGAAACTCCAATTACTTCAATGACTTCAAGACCAAAAGTTCCTGTGATTAAACGAATTAAAAAAACAAATTGTGAAATATTGAATTTATTTTCTTTTGGATTAAATAAACCTGAAGAAGACTCTGACCTTTACGTTGTTAATGAAAATGTTAAAACTTTTAGAACCTGGTCAGCATTAAAAAAATGTAATTTAATTTATGACTCATCAATAAATTGTTATGAGGAATTTAGAAGAAGTGTTATCTGTAGAAGTAATTTGTTTTTCATTAATTTTGATGACCAAGGTAATGTATTTGGGGCATTTGTTAAGAAACAAATAACTAAAATTAATGTCTTTGTTAAAGACAAAGATCACTTTTTATTTTCATTAAATGCTAATGGAAGAATAGTTACTCCAATCCGTTTTCTTCCTAAGAAAAACCAATATGATTGTGCTGTTACTATTTTTGCAGAAGTTAGTAAAAAAGAAAAGAAAAATGATACTCGACTTTATCAAATTGGAAGTTTTGAACTTGGAAGAGGATCAATGGGTATTCGTGCTATTGGAGAAAAGAAAAGTGATTGTTGTCATCTTTCTCAAAGTTATGAAGGAATTCAAAACTTAACTTTAACAGGAACCAATCACCCTGCAGAATTTACAACAAGAAGAGTTATTGTTGTACAAATGGAATAAATAGATACTTATAAGTACAATTTATTATTTATAACTTTATTAATTAGTTTTGTTAAATTATATGAAAAGACAAAAAATATTTTTTAAAAAACTTAATGAGAAAAGTAAATAAATCTTTCTTTTGTTAACAGCACTTCTTACCACCTTGAGTTTGAGCAGATTGAGTTTGACTAATATCTACCTTTTCTTCTGTTTTAGGCTTTGAATTATCAGAAGGAACAGAATCATTTTTAAGTGTTGCGTTCTTCTTTTTATAAATTTGTATCAATAAATCAGAAAACGCTTTTTCTACGTTTGTTCCATCTAAAGCAGAAGTTTCAATAAAGAAAGCTGAATGTTTTTGAGCAAATTCAGTCCCATCTGAGGTATTAACTTCACGCTCTTGTTTAAGATCAGCTTTATTACCTACAATCATAATAGTAATGTCAGAATCACAACCATTTTTTAATTCATTCATCCATCGTTCTATTGCATCAAAACTATCTTTCTTTGATACGTCATAAACACACATTGCTCCTTCTGCCCCTCTATAATAAGCATCAGTAATAGCCCTATATTTTTCTTGACCAGCAGTATCCCAAATTTGAGCACGAATAGTTTTACCCTCATATTCAATCGTACGTGTGGCAAATTCAACTCCAATAGTAAATTTTTTTTCAGGCTCAAATTCATTTCGTGTGAATCTCAATAATAAATTTGATTTACCAACACCACTTTCTCCTATAATCACTAATTTATACATACACTCGGTTTCTCCTTCCATTTTCAATCAAACTGAACTAAATTTAAAATTTTGTTCTTCGTTTTTTTTTTTTGTTTTTTTATGATTATAGTTTTTGTATAGTTTTTTTATTTTTTATTAAACTCTATTTTTGGTTATAAAAAGAAACACTTGTCTTTTTCTTCCTCAGCATTTTTATCAAATTGGGAAACAACATATATATTATTATTTAATGATAAAAGAAAATTATTATTCATAAATTATAAAAACATTTAAATTCTGTAAAAAAGAGAAAAAATATAACATATAAATTTAAAAAATATTAAATAAAAAAATGTTATTGGAATTGGTTAAATTATAACTCAGCTTTTGGTTGATCTTCTTTTGGTTGATCTTCTTTTGGTTGATCTTCTTTTGGTTGATCTGCCATTGGTGGTTGAGAATCTTTATTTTGTGGAACAGTTTTTAATTGTTCAGCATATTGGTCTGGATGGGTAAGAATTTCTGTGGCTTGTTGATACATTGGTAAGTTTTCACAATGAGCATTTTTTAAACATTCTGCAAATTTTTCAAGACAGTGTTGTTTTGATCCGCCAAGACCAAGTGAAACAACGTCAAGACATCCACTATGAACAATTCTACACTCATAATCTTTTTGATACAAACAACTTCCTATTTACAATGAATAAAAGTTAATTTAAATATAAAATAAACAAACCTTCTTTTGGTTCACCACAACTTTGAAGAGCAGAAGTTACTTGTTTATATTCTTCAGTTTCATTACACTCGTTTTCTTTTAAGTAATATTCTTTTCGTTTCAAACAATCACATGGATCATAATAATTTTCACAATCTTTAAATACAATAAGAAACTTTTTTAATTTACGTTCACCACATTCGGCATTTGCAATAACAAGAAGTACAAAAATGAATAAACAATTCATTTTCTTCTTTTAGTTTTCAAGTTTTTTAAGTTTGAAATTTTTCTAAAATATATTTTAGAAAATTCCATTAAGTTTCATTTTTCTTTCATTAAAATAACAAAAAATAACATATTTCTTTTTGTTATTTTAAACAATCCAAAAAATAAATTTTAAATTCTCTAAGTCTGGAAAATTCAAAATGAGTGAAAGCTTATATAACATATCTCGTTCCACTTCTGATTTATTTATTGGGTCACCATCTATATCAAAGAAAATAATATTTTCCAATAAGAAAAAACAACAAAAATTAAAAGATATTTATGAATTTTGGGGATTTTTATGGTCACAAATGTTTAAAATACTTGAGGAACATTGTGATGGATTATATTTAACTAAAGTTCCATGGAAAATATCAAGTTTGTTTTATGTTAATGTTTAGGTATGAAAAATAATAAATACATTAATGTTATAGTTAATCATTTTGTTCCTTCAGTAAAAATTAAGTATTTAACACTTATTAATATCTTTAGTTATTCAACTTCAATGTCACGTGTTGATCTTCAATATACTGGACCACATGGGGTTCAAACAATGCATGAATTAATTCAAGGATATGTAATTAAACAATATATAAGAAAACAACCATTATTAGAAACGTGTTGTAGTAAAACAAATGATTCATTAAAATTAATGCAACAAATGGTACCAATGTATTATTTATATGATTATGGAACAATTGAATTTGATTCAGTAAAATATGATCATTTAATTTATTCTGTTATGGTTCCATTCATAGAAACTACAGGAAATGGATTTATTTCAGTAAGTATTGGATTTTTACTTCCAGAAAAAGGAGAAATAAATTATGAAAAAATTTATGATATGATAAATCTTTTTATGTGGAATTTTGTTCAAAAACATATTTCTACTCAAGGAAAAGGTGATAATAGTCAAGTGACATTATTAACTGGATTACAGTCATTTGTTCAATGTTTAGAAGAATATATTGTTACTATTGACATTGATTATAGAAAAAGATTAGAAAACCTTAAAACTTTTGAAAAAGAAAAGAAAAATCGATTAAAAAGAAAACCTTCTGAACATCTCTCTTTACTTTTATCTCAAGAAGCTTTAAATTTAAGTTGTTCTAATCTTAATTTATCAGGGGAGTCTGACTTAACTTTTAGTATGGATGAAGATCAATTCCCAAATCAAAGAATAACACAAACTCCTGGTAAAATTTTATTAAGAAGAAAATTAAGTCGTTTATCAGAACAACCATTAATTGAAATAGACACTACTTCTCAAACTGATTTAGATGAAAGTAACAGAATTCAATTAGAAGGACAATTCTCTTTTGTTAAAGAATGTTCTAATGAAATAATAGAAAATATCCTTTATGGTTATTTAATGTCATTTACTACTATTGTTATTCCTGCTGATGGAAGAAATCTTAATGGAATAAGAAGGTTATTATCTCCTTTTAATACTATTAGTATTTATAAACCAAAAACTGTATTTGGACATTCTATTGTTTCTGTTCTTAATCCATTAATTGATGTTTCTTTTATGATGGAAATACCTAATTCACTTGAAACACTTATGGGATTTCCATATTGTGTTATAGACTTAACTAATGGAGAGGTTTATTTGTCAGAAGAAGTTAATACATATGACTATTTCTTACAACGTTCTTCAATGTTACTTAGTATATTTAATAGTAATATGGAACGATCTATGATTGTTTCACCATCAGGTATGGAAATAATAGATGGAACAAATCTTTTTACTGATTGGCGTAAAGTTTTAATAAGTAATCTTGAAAGAGGTGAATATAAAATATTTGATGCAGTATTATTAAAAATGGTTGAGTGGCTTAGAATGAAATCAAGAATACTCTTCTCTTTTATGAGCCTTGGATATTTTCAAGAAATGGATATGATGTTTATGGTTCAACTTAAAATAATGTTAAATTGTAAAGACCTTGAAGACCTTATGACTATTGTTGCAATTGTTAGGTCTGGAGAACCTTCTCTTGCAGATACACTTCTTCAAGCAATTAGTAGAGCAATTACAACAAGAAAAGAGAAAATAGGTCAATCATTTATTTAACATAAATAAAATTCAACAATAAAATGTAAATTAATTCATTCATTTTTCTATTATATTTTGAATTAGTTTTAGATAATTAACACTATGAACCAAGCAAATAGAGTTATAATAGAAATATGTTTACATGCACTTCTTGTATTTATTTCTTCTTCTTTTATACATTTTCCTTTTACTGAACATTTATATCCGACTCGACATACACCACAACGTGGAACACATTCTGGTTTCCATTTAGCATCTTCAGACTCTGAATCTGCATTACATTCCATACCATCACAATATAAAGATGCTACTTTACATGTTTTTTTATTTTCAAAGTCTTTAAAACGTATATTAGAAAATTTGAGAGTTCTATTTCCATCTGTTTTAAAATTAAGAAGCATAGAATTTAAATAATAATAACATCTCTTTGATACAGTAATAGATATATTAAATTGGAATGTTGTTTCATTGATCCATTTAGATTCTTCATTGAAACCAGTACTTACACATGGAGGATATGTCACAAGAGAACTATCACTCCCATAATTATATCCTCCCCATTCATATGAAGTTAAATTCCATTCTGCATCTGAAGTTCCTTCTATTCTTAACTCTCTATAAGCCATAACAAAATTAAATATAGTTGTTGCATAAGAAATAAGAGATGCTTTTCCATCAATAGAATGTAAAAGTAATCCATTATTAATAACTTCTTCATCAGTTAATTTTATAAATCCAGTGGATTGTAACTCAACAAAATGCCATTGAAAAATCCATAAAATATCAGCATATCCATCAGAGGTATAAACCTTAGAAGTAGAAGAGAATTGACATAAAGTATGAGGAGTAGAAGGAAAACGTTGGTCAAGTAAAAATTTTTTAGTACTAAGTTTCATATTATTTACTTTAAGTATTTTATTAGTAAATGAAACTATTTGAAAAGATACCGTTGTATCTTTAAATGGAATGTCAAAATAATGTCCATTCTGAAAATATTCTACCCCATTATAAATAATTTTCTCTACAATATCATTTGAATTAACTATTGCTACTGTTGAAATTCCTTTTTCTTCTTTAAGAATATGAACTGATGGGAAAACAGTAAATAAACATGTAGCTTCTGAAATAGTTATTTGTGTAAACAGAGTATTTGACCAAGGAGTAGTTGTGGCAGCAATTTTAAAAAATTCATAATCACTTACTACTGCATGGTCTTGAATTTCATACAATGGAGAGTCTTGATCTGTAACATTAAAAAATCCTACAATAATACAATGAATCTCAGTAAGTGATGGACCAACCATATTCATACAACTTCCACATTTAGAAATAAGTCTATCTCCTTTTTTTTTAAAGATCATTCCAGAATGAACATAACATTCTCTTTTCATTTCTTTTCCAATCATTCGTATTCCGTTTGCTATTAGTTCGGTATCACAATCATACGTTTTAAGAGAAGAATTTTTAACTAAACTATTCTCACTATTAAGAAGAACTAATTTATTCTATAACGTTATTTTGGTTTTTTACTCTTTAAATTAACGTATCAATCAAAAAATTATATAACAAACTACACAAGGACCAGACTCTGCATTTGAATATGAAATTAATAAAAATATCCAACAGATACTTAAAAACATCATTGAATTGGTATAAAAAAGTTCTTTCTTATTTATTTTATCTAAAGAAGAAATGAATACAAGATAATAAAGAAATTAGTTTTAAATAGAATAATTTTTTAGAGTATTTCAGCATTTTTTATCTAAACTTGGAATTTTATTGTAAAAAAGCTACTGACAGATTTAGATTTAGGGTACAACAACAAATTTATTAAATTCAGTTTCTATTTAAATAAATTGAAAATCTAATGATTTTTATGGAAATTAAGAGATTTTTAACGTATTTTAGATATTTTAATTTAATAAAAAGTTAAAAGTTGTTAAACCTTTTTTTCAATAATTTTATACTAAAATTATTTCCTTTATTTTAAACGAACTCTTTCTTTGTTCTTTAATTCTGTTCAAAAAATTTCTTCATATTTAATAGTCTATTCGCATCTTCTTTTTTAGATGCATTGACTGCCATAGCAATTACTGAACCTCTTGGATCAACTTCAAGTACTCGCTCAATTAAACAACCTTCATCATTTGGTGTAAATTTCATTCCAAATAATTTAACACCTCTAACATATTTCTTTCCAACAGTATCACATTTTGGATAATTAATAGAAGTACTTACAATATAAAAGCTTCCATTTTCTTCATAATCAATTAAAACTGAAACAAATTCTCTTGCTGCAACAGGCCATGGTGCAGAATTTACTTGTTTAGTAACTTTAAGATGTTCATTAATTGTTTCAAGAACTTCTGATTCAACAAGTTCTTTGTCATATTTATGACTAGTAGCAAAATCTGCACTTTTAACTTTATTAAATATGTCTTCTGCTTTTAGTTTTGATTGTGTTACTGTTTTAATAAAGTGATGGTTATTTACTGATGGTTTATCATAAATAGTAACTTCCCCTTTTGTTGTTTCAGTCCATCCATTTGATAACACTTCTGTAAACCATTTCTTAGCTGCTTCACCAGCAGCTTCAAATTCTTGTTGATTTGAACATGTTTTAAGTTCTTCTATAGTAGCAGACATATTATTTTATATTTCTAGTCTAATAAACATCTATTAAATTTTGTCTCATTTCTTCTTCAAAGATCTTTGATCATCGATAGTCATGTATGTCACATTTTTATTTAGCAATTCTTTCTTAATGAAATTTTAATTTATTTATTTTTTTAACATTTTACCATCATCATATCTTTTTAAATAAAAAAAATTCATCACCATCAAGAATATTATTAATAACTAATTAAAAACTAATTAATTAAATAACATTATAATTTATCATTTGTTATTCTTTACATATTAACTATATTATTGTTTTTTTTTTATTAGAATATATGTATATTTTAAGGTTATATCTATTTTATTAAATAATATTGACTCATTTTTTATTATCATTTAATTATTTTGATTTGTTTTATCAAATCACTTTGATATTTATTTCATTATTTTAATTTAATACATCAACTATTTGATACTTATTTGATGAGTATATGTATATTATTTACCTTTTATTATTTATTATGTTTATGTTATTATTTGTATTTATTTTATTTTAATTGTATTTTGTTATTATTCATTCTTTTATACTTGTTATTCTATTATTTTCCTTATGTCATTTACTTTAATGTTTTTATTTGTGTTACTCTTCATTTTTTATTGTTGATATCGTTCAGTAATATTGATAATACAATATAAACTATTTTAATGATATAATAAATAATATCAAAACATAACTTATCATATTATTATTATTATTTGTTTAAATATTCTTTTTTTATATTTTATCTAATTATTCAGTATTTCTTTTATTATTAATATTCTGTTTAATATTCTTTTTCAGTCAATGACGTACAAGACGTTTTATTATAGTTATCATCAAACAATGTCATTGAGTCTTGTAAAACAAGAGAAACAAGACTCAGCATTTATTGGAATAGATGAGAATCAATCAAATAAGATAGTATATGAGAGTGAATTAGATTTAGTTGGTTAGATTTAAATAATTAAATATGAAATTAAGAAAAGAACAAATAGAAAGTAAGGTATAATAAAAATAATGAAGAGAAAAACAAAAAATTAAATTGGTGTTTACATTCTGATAAAAACCATTGTTCATATGAGAATTTCTTCTCATCTTATCTTCTATTTCTATTCTTCATCATTTCGTTTTTTCTATGTTATTATTGTTATCAGTATAATCTCACATTATCTCATAATGTTTTTCATGTTCTTCAACACTACTTTTATAATAACCACCATAGTATTTAGATTCATTTTCCTTATACTATTTTAATTGAGTCTGTATTAGTTAATCCATTTATTGTAATTATAATTATTATAGTTAGTACTATGTTCATTCTTTTAACTTTTCTGATATATTTTAGTAGTTTAGAATATATATTTACATTCTTATCTCATTCTATTGTCATAACAATTATAATTACATTTTTTTTCTTTAAGTCTCTCACATAACTATTAATTCTTTTATGAATATTATCTTCTTGTTTCATTACAACTTTTTAACTCACTATAATGATGCAGTTTCTTTTCTATATTCTTTTTTGATTCATTTATTACCACTAACATCATCTTATTCTTTTTCTCTCTTATTATTTGTAGTGTTTCATCACATAAAATTCATATTTGATCTTCATTTCTCTCTAGATACATTTCAATACTCTATTGTGTTTATACGTACGTTTTTTTCTTTATAATAATGCAGTTCAATAATATAGTATCATTTGTTGCTTTTTTTTCTTGCATATTAGATATATTGCATATGTAATTTCATGTTAAATAGCTGGTTTTCAAACACTAATGTTTGATACTTTCAATTGAGTATATTCTTTTCTCTCTCTATTATTTTGTTAAAATATATTGCATGACTTTCTCTGATCTGTCATTTTGCTTTCAAATTCATTCATTATTTCATTACATATTTTCATCTTCATTCATTCATTTGTATAATGAGTTTGGAATATTTCTTTCATATAGCATTATATTTAGTTTGTCTTGTTTCAATTTCTATTCTTCGTAAAAAATCATATTCTCATCCATTTATTCTTCAATACTTTTCATTACATTCTTAATGTATCTTACATTCTTATTCATTGTAGAATGAAATACTCCTAACTATTTTTTATTGATGTTCTTCATATACTAATGATACATTCTTCATACTCTGTTGTATTTCTATGTTTCATTTCTTAACTATTCAACATTTGTTGTTATTCACTTCCATTTTAATAGCTTTAAGAGTTTTAAGTATTTTGTGATATGCTTTTCACATTCCTTCATTTATTTCACTTGTTACTTTCATTCTTTTTTCATTAATATCATCCAATACATTTGATATTATTTTCATTTGTAATATGAATAGTAGCGATAAGAGTTAATATCCTTGAAATATTCAACATTTCAATTGAACTTCTCCTATTTCTTATTTGTATTTACATCAAATTCATCTTTTGAATATACTTTTTATCATTTCTGTTATTACAAATTTTGTTTGAAGTATCTTAATGCTATTTTATCTATTTCTTATTTACTGATTCATATACTTTCTTAATAATGTTAGATGAGTATAAATATCTTGTTTTAGTTGCTTCTCATGTGTTTCTTTCAAGTAACTTCCATACGCTTCATTCTTTATCTTCAGTGCTTCCTCTTTTAACTCAATATTGGATTATGTTTAATTGATATTTTGTTTCATTATTCATGTGCTGTTTTTCTATATTATTCTTGATGATTGGTGTGAACATTTTCATAGTTACATTCAAACAAGTGATTTGTCAACACTTCTTTTTCTTTGTTCATTTCATTTGATTTTATATTAACATTATTCTTCAAATTATTATTTCTTTTTTTGATCATTTCTTGTATTTCTATCTATTCATTGAATAATGTGACTATCCTATCTCTCATATTTTCTAATATTTTTTAGTAATATAATTGAATATTATCTATTCCAAGTACTTTCCATTTTGATATTCTTATCATTTCTATTGTTTATTCTTCTTTGTGGGTTTCACAAATTCCAATTTCTATTCCAATTTCATTCATCATTTACTTGAACTTCTTGTTATTTTCACAATCTATGAGTGTCTGTCAAATACTTTCATCTATAACTCAATAGTTTCTTCATCACTTTGTCTTTCTGTTGTTTCAATTCTCTCATTTATTTTCTTTTCTATTTTCTTTCCATTCATGCTTTGTGTCTTGTTGATGTATATTCATCTTCTTTCTCATTTCAATCAGTTATTTCAATTAGTTGATTTTTCATCACAATCTACTGTATTTTTCTTCATTTATTGTTCTTAGTCTCTTCATTATTTTTAGTTTCATATACTATTCTCTAACAAGCACGTTATTCAATTTATTACCTCTACTTTGTGTTATTACTTCATATCCGCTTTTATATCAAACAAATTCATTTTAAGATATGTCTTGATGATGCTTATATTTTGTAGATATTGTATTTATTGAATGCCATTTCCACGCATTTCCACTTCTCATTCAGATACAAGATTATTTCATTGCATATTCTTGAGTTGATGTAGTGTCAAATAGAAATTCATTGTTTATTTCCATTCTTGCTACTTCTTCAATCGGTTTGTTCAAGAATATCCGATCTAATTCATCTTTTACTTTTCTTTTTAACATTACCACGACTTTCTCATTTTCTATTCTTTCATCACTTTTAACTATTTTATTCACGTTTTGATTGATATATTCAAATATTTCATGGTTATTCATTTGATTTTTCATGCTATTTTTACATACTCATCATCTGCATTTCAATTCATAATTTTCATGATATCTCTTCGATTTCACTCCATCTTAATTTTCTTCTTGGTTTAATATTCATTTTCTTAATTCAAACACAATCTCATCTTATTCTTTTTGTTTCTTTCAAATATTCATTGATGGTGATGTGGTTATTTTCAGATGAACAACATATTATAGCAGTCTTTATGTTTCTTTCTTTGATTAGTCTTGCGAATTGAATGGCATAAGTAATAGTTGTGATTCATCTTGAGCTGTCACTCTCTTTGAACCCGCTTCAGTTTTTGCCATTGTTATTTTCACTTTGTTCTCTTGTACGTTTGTTGGTTGACTTACAGAAGTTCTTCTCCTTTTGGTTGTTCCATTCGATATTTCCTTGTACTTCATCCCATTACTCACATAAGTAAAATTTTTACTTCCATTTAAGTTTCTAACTATTTTCGGTGATTTACTTGTTTGGTTTTTTTATTCCAGTTAGTAATTTCTATGGTTTTCTTCTTTGACAAACACAACTTCCATTCCTTGATATTGTCTATTCTTCATTTACTCTATCATTTCCTTCACATGATTTATTTTTCTTTTCATTATTTCCAATTTTTTATGATGGAGTTTTTTCTTCAAGTAGTTGATTGTTCATTTCTTCTATTGACTGTTGCGATTTTCTCTGGAACTCTTCTACTTATTTCATCAACACTCCAATTTGTTCATAAATTTTATGTCTCTTGGTTTTGTTTCATTTATTCGACTTTGTTATTCCATTCTTCACTTTTCTTTTTTTTCTTTATCTCTTTCTTGATCTTTCATTTATCCATGTTCATCTTTTCATTTTGTTCATTCAATTGTCTCAACAAACTTCCAATTTCCTTATTCTTTTGTCTCATTTCTCATTTTTTATTTCCATTCTTCTTCTTTTCTTTTGACAACTTTTGTTACTTTACTTTTTTTCACTTACTTTCTTTTTGACATTCATTAACCATGCACCAAACAGCCTTCTGTTAGTTTCTGTTATTTTTATACTTCCTTTTTAATTTTATTGTATTTCTTGTCTTAGAAGTGTTATTTTTTCTTCAGACATAGGTATTTCTGTTTCATGTGAAATACAATGTAAATGAAATGAATGGTATAAACTAATTATCACTTAAATAAAACTATATTTTAATTGAAAAGTTCAATTAAGTCACGTTTATTTATTTTTACTATAGTACAAACTCATCCAGTGATAATTTTCTTTAAAATATCTC